TTCTGGAAGCCTTGAGAGGTGGGGTCTAGCTGAAGGAGGCAGGTCACTGGATGGGGCGGGAGGAGGGGCATGGCCATTGGAGGAGGCTCTGTTATCTCTGATCACTTTGGGTTCCTCTCTCTGCTTCCAGGCCGGCTGTGACGTGAACTACTGTGCTCCAGGATGTCCTCCCATCATGAGGGATGGAACCTTCTGTAACCTGAGGCCAAATTTTTTTTTCTTTATTCCTTTTTATTTCCCCAACATAATATTTTTACTGATTATTTGGGAGTTTCACATCATGTTTCCTGGTCACACTCACTTCCCAATCCTCTCTTGATCCACCCTTGTGACCTCCTCAGTCACCCCCCCCCCCCAAAAAAAAAAAAAAAAAAAAAAAAAAAGAAAGAAACAAGGGGAAAAAACTCCAAATCCATTTTGTGTTGTCCATATACTCACTGGAGCATGGCCAAACTCCCAGTGGCCAGTCTCCTCCCTAAGGGAAACTGAGTCCTCCCTCTCTACCCCTGCCCCTGCCAGAAGCCATCGATTGTGCAGAGCTACACCTCAGCACCCCTATCACAATTTAAATGAGTTCTATTTGATGTCTAGGCTGTCACTTTGCGGGGGCGGGTTGGAGGCCAGGGGTTTCCATAGAAGCCTTTTCTGTTCTCTCTTATCCCCTGTGCATCTGCCTGCATCCAGCCTGCAAGGTAGCTTCCTTGCCCTTCACAGGCAACAGGAGCACGGATCCTGGGCTTCGACATGGTTTCTGCCAACAGCATGGACCACAAACATGTGCATGTTTTCCAGGATCGGCATTGGGCCATGGACCAGCATGGCCTCTGGAAGAAGTATGGAGCATGGAGGTCTTTTGAGGAGGTCCAATATGGTACATGAGTCATTCTATATCTCCAACATCTTGTTGCTAGGATTACAGGGTACAGTGTAATCAGTTTATGTGGTGCTGGGGAGTGATCCAGGTTGTCATACATGCTAGGCAAACAATCTACCAACATCTCCACTTCCCAGTTTATCATTCTTTTGATACTTGAAGCTCAGAGTTAGTTTTGCTATGTTTATCTTCCCACTGGCCTATTTCTTTTCATTCTTTCCAGTGTTACAATTTTTAATTCTATTAATGCCACCTTAGTTTTTCCCATTGTCTGGGTTCTTAGATCCCTGCTGTGGTCTTCTGTTACTCATCATTTTTGTCTTCTTCCTCTTCATTTTCAGCATACCCTTGCTTCTTCTCTGCTAGGTTGCTGTGTTCTATAGATTGAAAACAGAGCTGTGAGGAAATTAAAGAGACCCAAGATAAGAAAGAGACCTGCATCAGTGCCAAGTTTGGAGTCAGCGGTCAAGAGTGCTGCCTGGGGGCTTGGGAATTGGGAAGGGAAAACTTAGACATTTGGAGAAGGTTCTCTCTGGATATGGAGTAGGAGATAGCAGGCTCAGGAAAATGGGAGGATGGAATTCCCACTTTTAGTGGTGTGGTTGAAGAGCTAAGAGTGAAAGAGTATGCGGAGCAGGCCTGTAATGGGGCTGGTAGGCCAGCTTGTGGATGCTGGGCATTATTCTACAGAGCATCGCTGAGATGACTGGAAATGGGCCAAGGTGATGTGTAGAAAAAGGCTTCTGCTGCTGTTGCTGTGTCTTCTTCTTTTTCCTTCTTCCTTCTTCTTCTTCTCCTCCTCCTCCCCCCCCCCCCTTTTCTTTCCTGGCTGGCTTTGAACTCAGTATATCTCTAAAGATGACCTTGAATTCCTAATCCTCTTGGACCCAGTTGCTGGAATTACAGGCTTGCTCCACAGTGCTCAGCGCAGTGCTGAGGATAAAATCCATGGCTTTGTGCTGCTTAGGCAGGTATTATACCAGCTGAGCTATATCTCCACCCCACAACATACTTAAAAATTGTTTGTGTGTGTGCATGTGTGTGTGTGTGTTACGCCACATATGTGCACATGTGGAGATTAGAGGACAATCTCAGCTATTGGGCTTCACTTTCCACCTTTTCACAGGCTGTTTTTTTGCTGTGTATGACAGGCTCTCTGGCCTTTGATTTTGGGGGGATTCTCTGCCCACCATCTCCAGCTGTGTGCTAATGCCTCTGCCTTTTACAGAGCTTCTGGGAATCTGAACTCAGGTCCTCACAACGTATGCAGCAAGCGCTTGATCCACTGAGGTGTATCCAAAACCCCTTGAAAACTGTTTTGACATGAAGCTGGAGGTGCCATGCAGGATGGCTTTGAAGGGAAGGAAAACCAATTTAAGAGACCTGGTAGGACTCTGGCCGTGACGTTTTTATCTTTGTTCTCTAATTCATCTAAGTTCTGAGGACTAGTAGGTTAATTTTCATTAGATTGCTCTGCTCAGGGGCGCTTGGCAGTCCCCCACATCTCGAGAAGCTATGCTTCTGCTGGCTTTGGAAGGCTCCATGGCTGCACTTCAGCCTGCTCTTCCAGCCTTGTCTCTAACTCCTTTCTGTTAGGAGCCAACTGATGATCTCCTGCAAATTGGATTTATTCATGAGGGTTCCATTTCCTGTTTTCTTTGCTGCTTGGAAATGTGGATTTGGATGGAAATCGCATTTGGCTTTCAGCACATGCATGGCACCTTCCAGGCTCCTCCCAGCCTGAGTGCTCCCTCCTGCCCCTGAAAACCTGGGTGACACGGGTCTCCATTTGATAATGAATAGCTGACATGGCTTCCTTGCTGCTGCTTCCGCTGTTAATTAGTGTTCACACGTTACTTGTTTTTACACTTTATTTCTCCTGTGGCCTGTCACCTCCTCAAGGGCTGGGGTCTCAGTGGCCAGAGTCATTTTCATCCATTATAGCTCTAATTATGGTCTTTTGAACATGATACTCGCTGACTTTCAATTTTATTTTTAACCGATCCAAACAATCAGAAAGACTACAGAAGTGGAGGGGCCAAGGGCTAATGGACTTGAGGGTCTGAGATTTTCCTGCAGAGATGGGCACACTTAGGAGGGACTTTTGATCCATTTGGTTCCCTTGTGTGAGGCATTTTCACTAATCATAAAGGATGTGTAGAAAACCCTCCTGTGTTAGAAGATTCACTGTTTCATAATGGGAACTGATTTGACTCTAGTATGTGGAGATATGATTTCTGGAAAAGCAAGGATATGATATCAACTGAGTTAGACATTTTTCACCCCAGCTTTCCACTAGTAAGATTAAGATGGCTACTTACGCTTTTCTGTTCAGTAGGTAAACAAACACGACAGAATCAAAACCAGCTTTACGTGTGTCAGAGATGGCGTCAAGCACCTGGGTTAACCGGGGGTTAGCAGCAGCTAAACCTTGTCTAGGAGTGTGACTTACTCTTGAGCTGAAGGCAGTGTGTGCTGAGGATTCTTCCCGCCTTAAAGGCTGAAAGTATTGTGGGCATTCCATAGTAGCTTAATATGAAGTGGGATGGCTTCATGCTTTCCCTGGGGACCTGGTGCTCTAATTCTGCAGTGATGTGGACACAAATTAAAGTGTAAGCAGTGAAAATCGGAACTGTAAAGTTGGCTGAATCTTCCCTGTGTGCTGTGCAAAGAAATTACTAATGAGAGAGAGACAGAGAGGGAGAGAGAATATGCAAACGAATAAATCGTTTTCAGCCTTCTCTGCTCTTGTAGAAACATTTACATGGAAACAGCTGACCTGCTAATTAGACAGCATCCTTGCTGTTCATTAGACCAATTATCTGGAGGAATTCTTCCAAGCAGCACTTAGTTTTGAGCTAATTATTGTGTGACCTTGAAAGCAATAAACTGTACTTTCAGAATGAAACTTTATAATTTAGACATATGCATAGTTTATACAGGCATGTTCCATAATTAGAGCAGCATAGTGGGAGGGGAAGGTTTCGTTCTTATGAGAAGGATTCATTCATCTCTTTCTGGGGAGATAGTAATGAATCAGCAGATCATTGTTTAGGTCGGAAAGGTGCTTGGGGGTTGGTATTATTTCAAAAAAGAGTTGTTTTGTGTGTGTGTGTGTGTGTCTGAAGGTTATTATTATTTTTGGATTTGTTTTAGCCCTCAAACAATTTTAAAAAATAATTTATAGGAGATGCTAGGGGTGAGAGCAATACAGCATATACATGTATGAAATTATTGAAGAAGAAAATCAATGTTACATAAAATACATAAAAACTAAAAATTAATTTAGAGAATGGAAAGTGTGTGTTGTCATGAATGGAAGCATCATGCTTAAATAAAAATAAGAGAAACGGCCATTCAGGAAGATGCTTGACTCTGTAGATACCATTTTATCTGTTAAAGCTTTTCCTAAGTGGGGCACTGTTAAGAAATGTAGTAAGAGAGCATCGGAGGTAGACTCTGAGATCTGTGAATAACCAACTGTGGAAATGAGCCAGCTGACCAATGGGGACTGTGTTGCTGAGCACTCGGGCAGCCCTAGGCTTGTCACGTAGGGTCACATGCTTCAAGGGCCCTTGCCTTGCTTGGAGCCTTCCTTCAGTGATGATCCAGCTGTGTGTTCCCCAGTTGGCTGAACTTGGCAATAACCTAATGTGCTGTGCTTCAGTTTCCTTGCTGGAAACAAGTGACAATAGCCCCCAATTCTAGGGGCTGCTCTGCAGCTTAGGTGTGATGCTCTGCTACACAGTAAAGGCTTTGTTCACACCACTCTTCGCTCCCTCACTCCCTGAGCCTCCATCCACTGTGCAACACTCTGCAGGGCCCTGCTGTAGAAACTGGTGTTGGGGGTCAGCAGTAGGACGAGGTTTCTGTCCTGTTGGAACCTGTGTACCAATGGGATGAGACGCATCAGAAAGAAATCTTCCACACGGAAGAAAAAAGAGTGAGACCAGGATGACAAGATATTGTCAGCCCACCTTTAGTTTGGTGGCTGTCTCTGTATTCTTATTTTCAAACCTCTCATTACTTCTATGAGAACCCTTTCTCCCAGTACCCCTGTTGGAAGGCTTCAGCTCCTCTCCCACTAACAAGCCCCTGTTCTGTGTCCATTTTTTTCTTTCCAGACTTCATCCTGGTAGTGGCTGGATCTGCCCAGCTCTAGGTGCTGCTCCTTCTATACCAGCAGGGTGCTCACCCACCCAGTTCTGCCTCAGCCTCTGGAGGAGCTGGGCTCTGTTGTTGCCCCATGACAGGAAGTACAGGACAGGGTTGAGGCAACTGCTCACGCTTACCAGAGGTCTACAGATCTTGTAGGCCATGCTGGCTGCTGACAAGAGTTGGCAGTCCTGTGACTTCAAGAAGCGGATCACCAGGTAGAAATATCGGGCAATGTGGAAGGGCACGAAACAGAGGGTGAAGAGGCCACACACCAGCAGGATGGTCCGAATAGACTTGGCACGGGCCGTGTGGCCTGCCTTTGGGAGGGCCCCCACTGGATTTGTCAGGCTCCTGACGATCAGAGAATAGCACACCAGAATGATCAAGGAGGGCAAAACAAAACCAGACATCATCAGGACCATGCTGTAGGCAAAGAAATGATCAAAATCCTCCGGGCTGGCTGTGTCGTAGCAGATCACCTGGCCGTTTACATAGTCGGTGTGGGAGAAGACCAGGGTGGGCAGCAGTTGGAGGATGACCAGGATCCAGGTAGCAGCAGCCGCGCGCCAGGCGTGCCTGTGAGTTCGGTAGGACAGTGAGCTCAGGGGGTGGCACACGCCCAGGAAGCGGTGCAGAGAGATGCAGGTGAGCAGCAGGGTGCTGCTGTAGAGGTTGGTGTAGAACAGGAAGCGCACCAGCCTGCACAGCGTCTCCCCAAAGAACCAGGTGTCGCCCAGAGAGTAGGTGATGATGAGGAAGGGCAAGCTCAACACGTAAAGCAGGTCGGCCACCATCAGGTTCACCAGGTAGATGGTGGCACAGCTCCAGGGCTTGGTTTGGCACCAGGAGAGCCATAAGACAGCCCCATTGAGGGGCAGCCCCAGGAGGAAGATGAGGCTATAGGTGAGCGATAGGTAGACTTGCTTGTACCTCTCTGAGAAGTGGCAGGCACCTTGCTCCCTGGAGGCGTTCATGTCTAGCCTCTCCATCTCGGGGAGAGGGGGTCTTCCCAGATGGCCTCTGCTTCTGCTCCTCCTGGGAGGAAACAAATTGGAGATTGCAGCACCAGGCCCTCAGCTGGGTGCTAGCCTCTGCTGACCACCTGGCATTCAGTTTTGCTCCCAATCCTTATTTGAGCACAAGCAGATTCAGGTGGAAGAAGAGGCAAACCCAGGCTTCAGACTCAGTGCTTAGAGTTCTGGGGTCCAGCGGTCTTACCTCGACTCGCCTGCTCTCTGCTGGGGGGCACAGATTGTAGCAGGAGACTCTGGCATGGTGGCTGGAAGGTGGCACCGTCATTTAAAGGAGCCTAGAAAACTGCCGGTTCCATGACTTCCCTCTTGCTAGAACCCTTTGCATAGGCCCAGGAATTCTCTTAGGGGATGAGAGGGTGGTGTCCCCCGAGGTGATCGGTGCTGCCCACAATCTGGTGCTAGCCGCATAGGCCAGTGTGGAGCAGAAAGTGAGCTGTGGGCTTTCAGGAGGATTAGGGAAAACACGGGTTTTGCCTATAGGCTCCGAGGGAGGATTTTGATTTGTATCTCTCTCAGGATTTACTAACTGGCTATTTGAATACTGAGGATGATTTGCTTATTAGCCACCTCAACCTCCTGCCCATTAAAAAAAAAAAACAAACCACAATTTTGAACTATGAAGCCAGGTGCAGTTTCTTATTGCTATCCAAACTGACAAAGCAGGTCCAAAGGATGGGCCCCACAGCAACAGGCTGTGTGGGGAGCCTGAAGTTTGCTGTCACTTTAGGTAAGTCAGCATGTGGTCAGCCAATTAGTGTGGAGCCCAGGGGGCTAATTCCAGGACCCAACACTAGGCAATTAAAATAAGAATGGGATAAGTGTTGTACAGTTGTATTCACTCTGCCAGGGAGGCCAGGAGTTTGAGGCCAAACTGGCCAATAGCAAGACCTGGTTTCAAAACAAACAAAACCAACCAACAGCGAAAGCTCAGTGGGTAAAGGGCTTGCTGTGTAAACATGAGGACCTGACTTTGCTGCCTGGATCTCACATTTAAACAAGAGCCAGACAAGGTAGCACAGACTTGTAAATCCAGTGTCAGACACAGGAGCCCTGGGGCAGGCAAGCCAGTCTAGCCTACCTGGTGAGTTCCTGCCCAGTTGAAGGTCGCATCTCTATAAAAATAAGGTAGACTGTCACCTAAGAATGACACTCAAGTTAACCTCTGGCCTCTGCACACATCTGCACACTGCACATGCATGCCTGCTCTCTCTCTCACAGGATGAAGAGGATGCATCCCTTGTTCTCCAGGATCTAACACCTTCATGGGAGAAGTTAGAAATGGATACAGCTAATTGTTATTTGTGAGAAATGGTCAGAAAAGCTATGGAAAATGGCAGGAAACAGGCACTGAGGGGACCAAGTGAAGGATTCTTAAAATAGGCAACATTTGAGTCTCCAGGAGAGAAGAAACAGAAGCCTGCAGGGCGGAAGCTGAGCAGTGTGAGGACAGGATGAAGAACACTCGAGGAGGTGGCAAGCACAGAGAGGCCGCGCCCGAAGACCTCGGAGTCAGCAGAAGGGATGGTACCTCTATGAGGAAGGGCACTCCTAAGCAGGTGGTGACAGAACAACTCTGGTGATGGTCCATCTTGGGTGTGCACTTGACTGGGTTAAGGAATGCCCCGAGAGCTGATAGAACATTATTAATCTTGCCTGTGAGAGTGTTTCCAGACAAGTCTGCCATTTGAATTAGGGGACTCATTAAGGAAGATCCTCCTCAGCCAGCACGGCACCATCCAATTGCTTGAGGGCCCAGACAGGGAAACAAAGGTAGAAGAAAAGTACGTCCACCCTCCTCACTGGAGGGGGAAGTCCCTCTAGGCTTCCTGGCCTTTAGACTCTAGAACCTTCTTCAGGGGCCTACGGTTCTCAGGCTGAACCCTGCTACCAGACCCCCCAGTCCCCAGCCTCCTGATGTTAATTACACTGTTGGACGGTTCAGACAGTGTGAGTCAACTGTGATGGTTCCCAGGTGATGCCTGCATTCTGTTGGTCCTGAATCTGGAAATCCCCTCTAGCAGATGCTAACACCATAGACCGGAACCTGGCACGGTAACGACCCAGTTAGACCAGAAGGGGCTGTTGCGGGATGTAGGGGTCAGTCAGCTCTGCCTCAGGAAAGGTTGGCCAGGATGGACACAGAGCAGGGAACTGCCAGGGGAGAACTGTTGAGGCAGGAGTGCCAGGCCTCGGGCATGAGGCACAAGGGTGAGGGGTTGGAGCTCTTAAGTTCTTTTTGTTTGCGTTTTGGAGATGGGGTTTCTCTGTGTAGCCTTGGCTGTCCTGGACTCACTTTGTCCTCCAGCTCACAGCGATCTGTCTGTCTCTGCCTCCCAGAGTGCTGGGATTGCAGGCCTGGGATTACTGTGCCCTGCTAGCTTTCAAGTTGTTGAGTGCTGGGGGCTGGCACGGTGAGGTCTTGAAGGTACAGTAAAGACTGGCTCCCAGGGTTGAGGAGGATGGAGGTTCTCTGCCTCAGGGTGCTGACAGTTCATCACTTCTCTGACTGGTTTAAAAATCTACTGGACAACAAGAAGAAATCTTTTTGGCTGGGAGAGGGAAGTAAATACAGTTTTCATTCCTTTTGTTTCCTGTAATCTTTCATGTTGGTGTGTTGGCAAATGCTTAGTTATTTCTGGAGAAGCTCTCTTTCCAGCTCAGCATGGGCTCAGAGGGAGGCTGAGGCTCAGTGCTGGCTGGGCGGGGCCTTTCACACTTGTGACTGACCTTGTGAATCAAGCACTACCTCTGTTTTACTGAGGCAAGTCAGAGGCATATTGTTGGCCTCAGTTTGATGGGCAGCGTCTGGTTGGGTCACTGACTTTGGCCCCACCCAAGAACTCTTGGGTGCTGTTTATAGTGCTCAGAAGGCAGAGGCAGGGGATTGTGAGTTTGAGGCCAGAATAGGCCACATGCAAAACAAGTAACAGGCCATCCTAAACTCAATGGCAAGATTCTGTTTCATATAATAATAATAACAATGATAACAACAATAATAATAATAAATCACTAGAATCACACTCACTCTTTTATGTAAAGATACAAACTGAAAATGTAAGAATTAATTTTAGGGTTTAGTATTTTACCTGTGTCTGGAGAATATGTTTTTGAGGTGATAAGAATTGAAGTCAGGACTCCATGCCTGTTAAGCACCACTGAGCTACATCTGATCATCCGAGACCTCTCTTTAGCAAAGGAAGCTCATAAATATTCCCAGACAGTAATTGCTTATTTTTACCAAGTTTGGTTTTCCAAAAATTGTTGGCACATACCTACCTGTTTATGTAGCAATGTATTTATCTGTTCACACACAGTACATATCAATATAATATTCATTTACAAATAAGAATCATTCATGTAACAACATACCTTTTTACGGTTTCTTTTAAGTGATGGGGATACAGTTAATTCTATGGGGGTACAGTTAATTCTATGGTAGATTCATGTAACAAATGTTTTACCTGGAATGAATTTTGTTTCAAGTGCAGTAGAAAGTAATTTGAAGTTGTTTTGACAACTGACCACTGGATGGCAATAAAGACCACAGAGAGTTTTCACCACCCGCTTCCCCTCATGCAAGTGAAACCCTGAATTGGGGTTGGGCTCTATCTACTGTGTGGTAGCTGCAAAGGAGACACAATCACTGAGGACGTCCTCTCCCCGAATAATCGCACTAACCGTCCCTTCGCTTATCACTCTGCATCTATGTTGGTTTCACACAAAGAAGTGGAGTTACAGATAGTTGAGAGCAGCCCCTGATGGTGGGTGACTGTTGCACAGAATATTCTGGTAAGCATGGAAGACACTCTTCTCTTCATTTTACAGCAGGGAGCCTAGGGCTCAGAGAGGGTCAGTGGAATTGTCTTCTGTGAGGCGATCGATGCAGGGCAAGCTCGGACTTCTTTTTACAAAGCCAGATTTCAGGGGGGAATGTTCTCTTACCTCCCTCCACCACAATTGCCTCCCAACCCCTACCAAGCAAAAATATAATAATAATAATAATAATAATAAATAAAAAGCAAGGCTTGGAAATAAAACAGCAAGTCACCCCCAACCCACTGTATGCACTGCCTTCATTACAAGCAACAGACCACTACTTCAAATCAGAGAAGCGACTCCACAGAACACAGCAGTTTGCCTTTATCCTGCTTCGCAGTTTCTGAGATTACGGTTGTAGGAAGTCGGCTGCAGTTCAAAAGCATTACATGGAAAATTCCAGCAGCACACAGTTCCCGGTTTTAAACTGTGTGCCGTTCAGAGCAGGGTGATGAGTTCTCTTGAGGTGCTGTTCTGTCCCGTGAATCAGCTCTGTCGGCTGTGTACGCTCTGTATGGGCGAGTTTAGGTTATCAGATGCAGTACTGACGCTCTTGTGTCAGAGTAACCCTCATTGTACTCAGTAGTGTCCCCAAAGCACAAACTTTCATTTTATTGTTACAGTTGCTTTGTTCTGTTAGTAGTTACTGCTGTTAGTCCCTTCATGCGCCTCACTTACAAGTTAAATGTCATCCTGTGTATGACTGTGTAGGAAGAAGCAGAGTGAGTGGAAGGGTAAGTACTGAGCAGAGTCGGTACTGAAACACAGTACCAAACACAGGTTTCCACAGGGTGTGTGCCTTGGAATGGATGCCCCGCAGGGAGAACAAGTAAACTATGTTTCCAGGAAACTGTTGAGTAATAGATCTGCATAGCGATCTACTACCTGTTTTTATAGTTCCTCTGGGGTCTTAAGAGTTAAATATAGGTATGCTAGCTTTGTAATGATTTTGTGTTGTATTTTACAGTACGGTCTCATGACTGCTCTGTACCTGGACTCCGAGTCAACATCTCAGAAATGAGGGACTCCAAGGATACTTATGTTCTCACAATGTAAGCAAATTGCATTCCGAAATCATTCCGAAGACTACCTAATACGGTGAGTACTTCATTTCAGCAGTGAGTTTGCGTGGCGGTCTG